GTGTGTGTGTGTGTGTGTGTGTGTGTGTGTGTGTGTGTGTGTGTGTGTGTGTGTGTGTTTTGAGTGTGTGTGTGTATGTGTTTGTGTGTATGTATTTATATTCATATCATGTCTTATTGAGGATATTTTCATACAGCCACGTGTACCCAGTCATCTATAGTTATAAATAAAAATTTATACACATATGTGCTCAAGCTGTGTCGAGTGTTTCGAGTATGCATACCCTTTACACACAAAGATATCATATCCCCAGAATTTCAACCGCCTCTCAACCCATCACCTGCACCCACACCCACAATTTAGGACTGGGTGGTATTGCTGCACAGTATCAACTAGTGACTTATCTAGAAGGCGCAGAAGCTCTGCAGAGCCAGGATGGCAACGGCACGGGCGTATACGTTGAACGCGTTCTGGCACAATGGGCAGTAGAGTACCTGATGACATTCTTCGGTGAAATCACTGACTGAGATTTGTATCGCATGAGAATAAATTTAAAAATTTAAAATAACAGTTTGTATGTACAATAATAAAACCTACGTGAAATTTCATAGCTCCGGGGAGTGCAAGCACAAACACGGTACTAGTCTTAAGCCCAGTGATGACTATCTCATAGTGGGTGTATAATCAGTGTGTATCCAATGATATCCCTTTTCCTTTCAGTACTATTTTGTTATACAAAACCTCTTTACTTGTAGTTGTACTTTATTATGTTATAGTGCTACTTAATTATACATATCTTCGATACTCATAGTTCTGTTTTATTAAAAATACTCTCTTTACTTATAGTTCTAATTTAATATAGACAACTCACTCATAGTACATAATCTCTTTACTTCTAATCCACTTTACCTATAGTTTCACTCTATTATACATATGCTCTTTACTTGTAGTACTATTTTATAATACACATTTTACTTATAGCACTACTTTATTATATGTATGGTCTTTAGTTATAGTACTGCTATATTATACATTTTTCCTGTACTTATAGTGCTACTCTAATATTCATATCCTCTTTACTTATAGTACTACTTTATTATTCATATTCTTTCACTTATAGTACTATTTTATTGTACATATCCTCTTTGCTTATAGTACTACTCTTTCGTACATATCCTCTTCACTTATAATACTATTTTATTATACATATCCTCTCTATTTATAGTACTACTTTATAATACATTCCGCTGTACCTATAGTACTACTCTATCATACATACCTTCTTACTTATAGTACTACTTTACTATCCATTTCCTGTTTACTTCTAGTACTACTTTATTATGCACATATTACTTATAGCACTACCATATTATACACATGCTCTTGCTTACAGTACTACTTTATTATACATACGCTCTTCACGCATTTTACTACCTTCTTATACATATCCGCTTCACTGATGGTACTACTTTATGATACTTATACTATTTCCTTATAGCTGTAAGTTATCACAGAAGCGTCAAATACCCTTCAGGTATCGCATGACCACCCGTCTCGCTGTATCGGACCGGTATAGACCCGCGGCGATGAGGCACAGCACATACACACCCAATGCTACCCACACTTTATGCCGCCGATAGAATGTCCTGTGCACGCGACAGTGAATGAAGAAGGCAGTCAACACATGGAAGTACATACAATACGAAGTAGGAGTAGGATTAGGTGTATATATAT